ACTCTCCTCTCTTGTAATCTGCATCCAGAAAATATTAATAACATTCCTGGCTTGGTAGCGCCCCCAGACGTAGTCCTCTGTGGCGAACTGGGTTACCAAATTTCGTGTGTTCTTTAATTGTTCTTCGTGTTTGTGAGTTAAATTCCTAACAATTTCTATTCTTCAAAATCTGCTCAAAAAGTGCTTACTCCATAGTTATACTTTGAGCATAAGAGATCAGTCGTCAAACCAATTTCAATTACTGGCCAACATGTTCACGCATTCGGCTGTCCTTTAGTTCAGGTTTTCTTGAGAGCTATGACGTGCTTGAAATGTTTAGAGACCTCCTAAAAATTTGTTTTTAATGACCTTCAGTGATTTAAATGTTGAAAGTGATATAAATAAATCATAGATTTCTAGAGCATGGATAAAAACCAAATTAAATTGATCAATATGCATTGCTATTCTTTTTTTGGAAGAAAGACACTTAATTAATATTAATAGTGAAAATTACAAGAGACAAAGCAATCCAGTAGCTCAGAGCTACCCTGGGATGAGACATAGAACTGATTAGCCCTTGAAAATCTGTCAAGTTTGCTAACCCCACAATCTGGTAGGCTAATCTATCAGCATCGTTGTTCATGCTACTAAAATAAAGGGATAAAAACTAGAGTAATTAAAAGGAAAAGTGACAAAAACAATCAAATTTTTTTATCTTCCCAGCCACCAGTAAGGGAGAAGAGGTTTGATCATCCACCTCTAAAGAAACCAGTCTGATTTCACTAGCTATCGGGAAAAGAGAAGAGGTTTGCCCAGCCACCTTCAAAGGAGCCTGTCCGATTTGACCAGCCATCGGGAAGGGAAAAGAGGTTTGTCCAGTCACCTCCAAAGGAAGCAACCCACTGACGAGAACTAATAGAATTCTAGGCGGTGCTGCTCCAGTAGCACCACCGCAAAGCCGTTTTTTGGTCTGTTTCCATCAACCTCCATGATGTCCTCCATCCCTTGCATTGTAGCTAGATTCCCTAACCCGCGGCAGTTCCTACTCACACAACCCATCCAAGCAATCACCACACCCGATGGCCAAAGCTAGCGGGGACAAAAACACCCTACAACCGAGGGGAACAAAAACGTTAGATAAATTGGGAAGGGAACCAGTCTGAGATTATCACCTATTGTCAATAGTTTCGAACCATGTAAGTCTTCGATGGCTTCAATAGTTTTTAGATCACAAGATGTAATTTTTATTCTTAGGGTAGTAAATGACGGAAGAAGGATCGATGGTCTCAGGCTATCAACGGTGTATCGATGGCACGGAGGAGACGGAGCACCATGATCGTAATCGGAGGCTGGGAGGGAATTGAAGGAAGATCTTCATCGATAGAGAGGCAGCTTCAGCGCTAGGGATTCAAGGCATCCTTCCGGCTGTTGTTTCGGTATGAGCAGTGATGCATTGCTATTCTTGAAAGTTGATATTTTAAGTTTTGGGTGAGAGTGTTCTATCATTGGGGGCCCTGTGGGGGCCATTTTTATCTTTCAGGTTCTAAATTGATATTTAACTCATCTTTCAAATTATGATTTGAGAAATTCCTTAATTTACTTACATTATTTGATATCAATTTAGATTGGACTCAAAGGCTTGCGTGATAGGGCCACCTAGGGTTCTTAATCAAGAAAGCCAACTCGCAAGCTATTTGAAAGCGGCTCAGTTCTTACTTGAACCTAGCTTGACTCGTTTCAAACTCAGCCTGTATTTGAACTCATCTCAAACCAAACCAAGTTAAGCTCATATTACGTACAAATTCGACTTGAAAAAACTTGCAAACTACTCGATTATGAGTTATTGTTGATTATTCTAGATTCATTCATGTGAGATTACGACCTTGTTTGGCAATCGGCTGTTAGTTGTTAGCTGTTAGCTGGTTATAACAGCTGATTGACATTAACTGATTGTGTCAGCTGTTTTGGTTGACTGATAATATTAGCTGGTTGTCTGTAAATGTTTGGTAAATTAACTGTTTGAGAATAGTTGTTTGCGTGTAAAAAGACATATAAGGACATTAGTATTTTTTTATTTTAGTTATTGCATACCAAAACAATATTACCTACATTTATTTACAAAGTATAAATTATTTTACTTCAATCAAAGGTGAGAGACAGAAAAAAGAAATCAAAAGTGCGTATAAGTTTTTAGTTGGAAAAAAGAAACCGAAAATGTGTATAAATTCATTATTGCATGAAAAGAAAATAAATCATTTTGGATGCTTAGTGATATTTGACAACATTTTTTATTAGCTAGGAACGATAATTTAATTGGGTATTCATTACTCATTTAAAGAGCTTTATCCCATCCGTAGTGCACTTAAAGAAGTTGCAACAAATTTAAAGGAAATAAATAAAAATAAAATGAAAAGAAAAGGAGTCAAGCACTCACGCCTAAAGAAAGGATCGAATAGGCATTTGATAAAGATGTATCGATCAGCCAGAGGGAAACGCTGCCCTTGCTAGCGTTTAGAAGATCGGCATTTCGAGTGTAACCATCTAGGCCCAACATCTACTTACCAAACACATCTATTTAACAACTTAGCTGGTCAAACCATCTAATAATGGTCAAATAAGCTGAAAATTGGCTGATCAGCCATTAACCAAACATGGCCTACATCATATATTCATAGTAAGATCCATACATAAAACTTATACTCATCTATCACTAAAATTGGCTGATCAGCCATTAACCAAACATGGCCTACATCATATATTCATAGTAAGATCCATACATAAAACTTATACTCATCTATCACTAAAAGTGTACTAGAGATTCACATATTGAGTTTAGACAATGTTCTAAAAATGTTATGCGAATTATAGGCATTGTCAGACAACGCACCAGTAAATTTAAGTAGGACTAATTGATCTTAGGTACTTTTAGATTTAAATAAATCATAGACGACAAATAGAGGGTTAATGTCTAAAAGAACAATTAAGTAAAGAATTTTAATACACCGTTTAATGATTAAAAAAATATTGATGATTGCATATACGTTTTAAACGTATAACAAATCAACCTCTTTGTTTTATAATACCGAGTATATCTTTTAGAACAGATAAAACTCAAATACAACTCGAACTCGAATCAAACCATAATTTTTTTAGACTCACGTAAATCTTGACTCGAGTTCTGTCTTTGTTTATCATGGCGGACCTGAATTAAGCCGAACTTGAGCACGACTCACTCAAAATATGAAGTACTTCGCCAGAGCCCCACACGCTATCTATCAGTTTATGATTGAAGTCCAATTTCTATCCTCTCTGTTAACTGTCTGGCAGGGACTGAGAGGCCCTCAAGAATGGGGTGTGATTCTTTTTTATCAATTCGAAACATTAATTAACTATACAATATTATGGGATTGGGTGTAAAATTAAGGGAGACAAATCAAACTATTTTGATTAACCATAAATGGTAACATTGAGTGAGTCACCGAGAGGTGAGAGTCCGATACAATTAGGTATAAAGTTAATTTTGATCCTATGAATTTTATGTCAATTCCACATTCAGTTCACGTCTATCACTTTGTTCACTTTGGATACTTGATTAATGTTTTTTGATCATTTGTGTCCCTTCTCTAATGATTTTAATCACCAAAAACATTGTCGGAAAGACCACATATGGGCGAAAACGTAATAATCATGTACTCAAAATGATCAAAGTTAAAGGCGTGTACCAATTGTTAAATTGGTGCTATACTAATAAGATGAAAAGTGAAATTTGTTCTAATCTGTTTCACTTAAAAATCAAAAGTCCTGTAACATTGAGTGAGCCAGTCAGAAAATTAAGTAGACTTATGGTCTCACAAGTACGAAGTATTATACAAATCTTACCTTAAGTGGTTTTTTTGCTTTGCCTATTAAGGATGTTTTTGCTTTAATTGTTTTTAGTCCCAGACCAAACCAAACCAGATCAGATCAAACCAAATCAGACTAGACTTGAAAAGTTATAAAATACACAGGAATCAGACTTTACCAGATCTGACTAGTTCAGACCAGACCAAATCATACCAAACTAGCGAATTCCAGTCCAAGTAAAAACATCCTAATATTACTCCACTAGTAGTAAGCAACTAATTTAGCCGGAAACATGAGTATGGGCAACGGGGCCAATTTGTGACTTGCCCTACTCCAAATTTTGACATAATAATAAACCTCTATTATAAAAGCTCGTTTGGTCCCTTTTTGTCGGTTTATTGGTGTTATATGCTATTTTTTTTACTAAACACGTAACTTTTGATTTCATGTGGTGAGTTGTGTAGTAATCAAAATAAATAAGGTTAGAGATAGTCAAAATAACTTTTAATCACTATAGTTATTTTATTCATATAATTTTTTCTTCGTTTTAATACTATAATATATTTAATTTAATTTTTTTGATAGTTCAGCAGAATGACCAGAATCGACCGTTTCAACTAGAACTTCACAAGTTTCATAAATATGGGTGTTACCTAAGAGGTTCTAAATGTAAAACGAATTGTGTGGAAATTTAGTAAAATAAAATTCATACTCCGTACATATGTTTTATTTCGAGCACACCCTTATTTTATTTTTGATTACGCCATTGGCTGAAAAGATCACATAACAAAAAAAAACAATAGTCCTGTAATAAATACAGGCATATGATTATACTATGACCAATTGTGGATATTTTCTAAAATGGATGAATATTTGAATGCTAGTAGTTGAGGGGTTGGGTACTTGGGTTTAAGCCAAAAAGTAAGGTATAAGGTAGAAGTTAGCCTGTCTAGAAAGAATAAAGTACAGATAATAGCTAGTATGCCTTAGCTTCTTTAGTTTTCCTGGACCATGAAGCAATATTCTTATCTTTACAAACCTGCAAAACCCTTCACAACAATCAGCCTTACAAGAAAAGAATTGATGTGAAGGACAACCTTAAACATGCCTGCCCCTGCCCTGCCCTTGCCCTGCCTTACTGGCAACTTATAAAAACCCCAGCCTGCCTTCTACCTGCCACAACAAAACACAATTCAAGCAATTAAGCAAGGCAAGAAAGCAGATATAAGAATGGCTACTAGTAATGATGGGAGTCAGCTCAAACCAGTTGCATCTCTTCTTCTGGGGCTGAATTTCTGTATGTATGTTGTCCTCTTGTCCATTGGTGGCTGGGCTATGAACAGAGCCATCGATCATGGCTTCATCATTGGTATTCTTTTCTCCTGTTTTTTGTTTCTCATTTCATAATGTATTTCAAAATATATGGTGCATATTGGGATGATATCAGTTTGTAAATCTAATGTCCAAAACCCTTTGTCACTTCTTAAAGAAAAACACTTGTGGTGCATATTGGGATGACATCAATTCCTTAATTTGACCGTTTAAGATGGTGACTTGTTGGAACAAACTATTGAGGAAAATTCCCAAAATAGAAGTAAAAAAGTTTGAAAATATCAAAATACGACTGTCATATTTTTCTTCCCAAAATAGAAGTAATTACTGTCAACTTTGAATAACATATTGTATATGTCCAAAATATGGCATTATTTAGTCATATTTTAAGAATAAAAACATGATAATCCAATTTTGAAATATACAAACGTTTTTAGTCCTATTTAGGGTAATTTTCCAACAACGTAGTTCTCCTTCTATCCTAAAAAACTTATATATTTTGATTAGTTTTATCCTGAACATGACTATTTGGAGTAGATAGATTTTTTTACTTGATTTGAACTGAATATGCAGGTCCGGACCTTAAGCTCCCAGCGGGTTTCACCCCGATATACTTTCCCATAGGGAATGCAGCCACCGGATTCTTCGTCACGTTTTCTTTGATCGCTGGAGCGGTTGGAGTGGCATCGGTCCTCGCCGGAATAAACCATATAACGCATTGGAACTCTAAGAGTGTGTCCGGTGCTGCTTCTGCTGCCATCATCGCCTGGACTCTTACTGCCCTTGCCATGGGGTAAGAGCATCAAATAAGTTGTTTATAGTTTAACAGAACATAATGTGGTCGTGGCCGCAAATATTGCAGTTACGGTCCGCAGCATCACCACAAGGCGCCACAATTGCAAAGTTTTTGAAAAATATATTACTAAAAAAAGGCAACTTATGCTCATCAGGCTGGGCTCAGTTAAAACTCTCTTTAGTCCTATTCATAACTATTTCAATATTTGGATTACCCTTTTGTCTATTTTCAAGACATAATAAAATGAAATCAATTTTAGGATGCGGGCGCATCTCAACCATGGGTAGTTCCCCCGAGATTAAGTTTAGAGAAGCAACCTAGAACCTTTTTTATCCCCGGGGGAGTCGGGGGAGGGGGTTTTGGCAGGCCTGGGTACACTGGGATCAAACTCACTCCATTGAGAATTGAACCCGGGAGGGTTTTTGAACCGCTTCCTCACCTAGAACCTTATATATCAACGAATGCGCTCCTTTATTTCTAGCGCCTCGAAATATTACAACATTGAGGGAGAGTGTACTTGTGTTTTCAGGTTTGCTTGGAAAGAGATTGAGCTAAACTATAGGAATGCCAGGCTGGTGAGTGTTCCATCATCAACTTTATCTCTTTATACACACTTGAATGATGCATCCACAAGAGCATAGCTAGAGTTAAAAAGATCAGATATTGATTACAATCAAAATTTTCTCTTGATGAATGCAAATCTATGTGCAGAGAACAATGGAAGCATTCACCATCATCCTCACAGTTACTCAGTTGTTGTACATACTGGTCATCCATGATCCAGCAAGAACTCGATAATATCATATTTGGTGTGTCAATGAATTGTGTGCAGTGTGATTGATACCATTTCTTTTGAGTGTACATTCTTTATTTATTTTTCAATTGTCATAATTTTCCATCATTAGTTCATTGGAACTATATATGTAATGCGGCAAAATAATGCATTAGTGCGCTACGCCACTACTTGATTGTATTTAATTTGTGAGAGTAAACAAGCAATGAATGTCCATGTATTGTATTTTTTTTACTCGATTTCATTTTGTATACGAAAATTAAGGTGTGATCTTAATACGAGTATTTATCTCTCTAAATAAATCTCAAATTAATTATGTAACCGGTCAAATTTTTCATATTTTGATTTTTGAGAAGGGTCACACTGTCACTGACAGTAAAGTACTACGAAGTACGGAGTCTTTCCCATAAGACCGTTAAACGGATACGTAGTACTTCATACTTGAATGTTCAAGCCAATACAGTCGGTGTCTTTTGCTTGGACCTATTCCGGTCCCCCGACAGGATCATATATATCAAACTAGATTTGATCATTTTAGATTAGATCAAATCTGAGGACCAGACATCCATAGTTGTAAGATATATAGAGACTAAATATTTATGGGATCATGCCAATTCATTTCAGATCAAATTAGAAAATTTTAATCCAAATAAATTAAAAACATATTTATGATGTTTTCTTTTGGACTGTTTTCAGTCCCAAACCAGACCAGACCAGATCAGACTTGACTTCCGTAGTTATAAAATACACAGAGACCAGACATTTATCAGACCAGACCAGTTCAGACCACACCAGACCAGACCAGCAAATTTCAGTCCAAAAGAAAACATCTTTATTCCGAAGTAATCATTTTTTAATCCTACTAAGAAAAAGAGTCACATGTGACAAAAGCAAAATATAAATTGCTTAAATCGGTATGCAAATATAATGTGACCAATAAATTGGTAAAAGGGACCTTTAACCAGCTGTCATTAATTATTAGTGTTAAACAACAATTAAACAACAAACGATATTTTAAGACTCGAGTTCCATCCTTAAAGACCAACTTGGTCTGCGGAGTGTTTTGAGATCGAATATACTACATATAGTGATTTATTATGTTATTCTAATCCGACGAGGGACAAATATTTGAACAAGATCAGAAATATATTGATAAATCGAGATCAAGCATGATTACAATCAGGAAAAACAGTTGACTAATGCCAATATGCTAGAACCATATAATAATAATAATAATAATATGGCAAAAAGTGTTTAGGTTTAGAAGCAGATAATATCCAAATGAGTAAATCATACATGAGCAATAAGACAGTCAAATAAATTTCATTGTCAAAAGACTCAAAATATTTATTTAATAACATAATTAGGAAGGAGTGTGAGGTTGTAAGTCAGAAGTCTTCTTGTCTCTTTATCCTCCGCCTCGAAGTCCATAGCACTGCATTGCCTATATGTAGTATAGAATAAAATAGACATTCTACATGCTCAACAAAAATTGAGTGGCGCACAAAACATATATGCGGTATTAATTGATTATTTCGCATAAGCTAACATAACCAATAATATCACATAAGCATACTTTGAGAAACTTCAAATGCAATTCCATATGCAGTTCTATTATCACAGTTCATATATATAATTCAAAATATGATAATTGATGTATCAGAGAACCTTACATATTTCCATCATTTGCAATGGAGCCAAAAATTCATTATTTTTTTGCTTGAAAATATGATGAAATAAAGCAAAATGACTCACTAACCTGCTTGCGCTTCTTTGTTATGAAGCAGTAGTCAATCCATGCAATTTTGGACTCGATTTTCACTATGGATCATCCGGAAACAGTCTCTCTGTGCTTTAGTACAGATGTAAGACTGCGTACATCTGACCCCCCCTTACTCCACCATAGGTGGTAGCCTTTGCGGCATTGGGACAAATGAAAATGAAAAAAAAGAGAACCTTACCTAATATAAAATGATATAAAGTTGATATAATTGAACTTATCAAAACGTAGCTTAACAAGGCACAACAAATCATAACTGAGTGTAACAGAACCAATAACAAGTACCGCTTTATGTTTAATTTATTCATAAGTAATAACTCGCGAGATAATGGTACGTAATCATCCAGAAAGAGCTCGTAATCGCTGCAGCTGCACAACTCCTAACAAACAATATTTGATAGAAGTACTAATGCCAAAGCACTTCATCCTAAAAATAGAATTTTCAAAGTACTAATGTCAAATCACTTCATACTAAAAATAGAATGTCAAATGTATTAATGTTGAAGCATTGCGTACTAAACAGAACAAAGTTACACAATTAATGTAGCACTTAGCATTATGTCAGAGGCTAGGTGACACAAAAACAAATTCCAGTATCTAGGTTCACTCATAGTCGTTAGAGGTGGCTTCCAAAATCTAAGTATCAAACTCATAGCAGACTTTTAAAGGAATCGTTATTATTTTTTGTTTATCAACAATATTTGAGTTTCATCACATATCAAACATGTAATAGAACACAAAACACATTGAGAAATCATAAATAGCTATGCATACTTATCAAAGTCTACACAAGTCAAATATAGTCAAAAGTGATTGACATAGTCAAATATGGTCAAACATGGATACATAAAAATAACTAAACATATTGAAAATAGGTAGTCAAACATAATTCATCATATCTTTTTGCCAAAAAAACATCATCATATTTAAAATTAGTCAAATAGCTAATAAACAGGCATTTAATTAAACTGTTTAAATACATTAATTAACCGTACGTTCGTCTTGCTACTTTACCTCTTTAAGGAAACTTCAGCTTGGTTTGAATATTAATATTAAAATAAAAGCAAACTAATACTACCCATATTTCTACCCTCTAGCCATGTGGAGAGATTATGTACTGCACTTGAACAAAGTACTTATACTAGACCTAAACATTAGCGGATGAACTATTTATGAAAAATAATAAATAAAAGTTTACACTAAATTTTGAAAGAATAAAACTGTCCTAGACTTCTGCACAACATAACCTTAACGTAAATCTTTCTCTAGTCTCTACTCTCTAGAGGCATGGTACATGGTTATATGCATGCTCTTATATACCATAATAGATTTTAAGAGGGAGAAAAGGAGAAAGTAAAATATTCATTCAATTCATTATCTAGATGAGTTCATTACATGCATCGGCTATATATCTACAATTTAGCTAACTAATGTTGAACACTTGAACTAATATTTTCCTTCAAAACAATTGAATTAATATACTCCGTAACCAATAACACGTACTATAACTATAATTGCTGTGACTAATCTAGCTGATGTGGCAATTCATGTAGTGTGTGATTGTAAAGTTACCACCAGACAATTAGAATGGGAAATGATTCACCTTTTTTCTTTCTCATTGAATCAAATATATAGTCATACAATATGAATATACAAGGTAAGCATATCAAGACCTAAAATAGACTGATTTACAAAATCAGTTCTAACTATAGATAAATACAAAATAGAATAAAAAAAAGATTTATACAATATTCTATCTTTAACATCCCCCCGCAAGCTTGGCGAGGTGGCCGAACAAGAAGACGACGACGCAAAGCTTGAAATCGAGCAGTGCCGACAACCTTGGTAAATATATCAGCAACCTGATCAGTGGACCTGACATGACGAACAACAAGCTCACCGGACTGAACTTGCTCCCGAACAAAGTGAAAATCGATTTTAATATGTTTGGATCTTTGATGAAATACAGGGTTGGCAGTGAGGAATGTTGCACTGAGATTGTCACAGAGAATAATAGGTGGTGGAGTGAATGCAGCACCCATCTCCTGGAGTAGCTGGCGGATCCATATAAGCTCGGCAGCGGCAAAGGCAATGGCCCGGTATTCGGCTTCGGTACTAGAGCGGGATACAACTTGTTGCTTGCGTGATGACCAACTGACAAGGTTCCCGCCATAGTAGATGGAGAATCCATGCTGGGAGCGGCAGTCATCCGGGTCAGACGCCCAGCCAGCATCAGTGAATGTGACAAGACTGGAGTCACGCATTTTTTCAAATGCAAGGCCATCAGATAGTGTTCCTTTTAGGTAGCGTAAGATCCTTTTAACTGCTGACCAATGTGTATGGGTGGGTTGATGCATAAACTGGCAGACACGATTAACTGCATAGGAAATCTCTGGCCGAGTGATAGTGACGTATTGGAGTGCACCCACAATACTTCTATATAAGTGAGGATCCGAAAATGGGTCACCAGCGAGGTGTAAGCGAGAAGCAGGTTCGGCTGGAGAAGATATGGGCTTTGCACCCGCCATATGACATCTGTCCAGAATATCACAGATGTACTTCTTTTGGGAGAGAAGAATTCCAGATGGACTACGGAGGACTTCAATCCCAAGGAAGTAATGAAGAGGGCCCAAATCCTTTAAGGAGAAGGATGTATGGAGGTGTTGAACGAATGCATCGATGAACGTGATATTCGATCCAGTAATAATTAAGTCATCAACGTAGACTAGAACATAAACAACATCCTTAGCATACCGCTTGATGAATAATGAGGAGTCTGAGATACAATTTTTGAAACCATGGCGATGAAGAGATGACTGAAGCTTGTGAAACCAAGCGCGGGGCGCTTGTTTGAGCCCGTACAGGGCCTTGGAGAGGCGACAAACGTGAGTAGGTTTGTCACGCGCAACGAAACCCTGTGGTTGGTCCATATAAACTGTTTCGGCAAGGTCACCATTGAGGAAAGCATTATTGATATCGACTTGTCGGAGAGGCCAATTCTGAGTGACAGCAAGACTAAGAACAACCCGAATTGTAGTGGGTTTGATTACGGGGCTGAAAGTATCGGAGAAATCAACTCCTTCTTCTTGTAAGAATCCTTTAGCAACTAGGCGAGCTTTGTAGCGCTCAATGGTGCCATCAGCATTCTTCTTGATCCTGTAAATCCACTTACAACCAACAATGTTAGTCCCATAAGGCCTGGGAACAAGATCCCAGGTTTTATTACGCATAAGAGCATCATATTCAAGCTGCATTGCATGCTGCCAATTGGGATCTTTGGTGGCCTGGGAGAAAAATTTAGGTTCAACAAGTGTATTGTGGTTAGTGGGTAATGGATATTTAGAGGAGGTGAGAGCTTTGGGTTTAAGAGTACCTGTTTGAGCACGGGTGACCATTGTATGATGAGAATCCGAAGGGGGTCGGAAGTAAGAGGGAGCACCTGGATAGGTCGTAGCCGGCTGTGGTTCGGGGGAGGAAGATATGTGTGTTTGAGTTGCAGAAGTGGTTGGGGAAATGGAAATACTGCCAGTAGTCAATGGGGTTTGTGAGAGTGGTGGTATTTTGGTTGAAATGGAGGGCTGTCCAGGAGGGTGGATCAGTACAGGGGAAGATGATGGGCAAGATGTTGTGGGACACAATGATGCCGCTTTCTGTAAAGTATCAAGGGTGACAGACACAGAGGAAGTAGGATTAGCAGAGACAGATGATATATGCGTTACATATGGAAACACAGATTCATCAAAGACAATATGGCGAGCAATAAAGGATTTGGCAGAAGGAACATGGTAACAAATGTATCCTTTGTGTTTGGAACTATATCCCAAAAATATACATGGCAGCGAACGAAATTCCAGTTTGGTACTATTGTAAGGTCTTAAGAAAGGAAAGCATAAGCACCCAAAAGATTTTAAAAACCCATAGTCAGGTTTACGGAAGTAAAGACTTTCATATGGAGATTTAAAATTAAGATTAGGTGTAATGGTGCGATTTGAGGCATAAACTGCAGTGTGAAATGCATGTTCCCAAAATTGAGTTGGTAATTTGGAATGAGCAAGCAATGAAAGACCTTTTTCAATGATCGTTCGATTTAGGCGTTCGGCCGAACCATTTTGCTCCGGGGTGTATGGGCAAGAAATACGGTGTATAATGCCATGTTTTTCCAAAAATGGAGAGAGAGGCCGAAATTCTCCACCCCAATCTGTTTGTATGGCTTTGATCTTGGTGGAGAATTGGGTTTCAATCATTTGTTTGAATGATGTAAATACAGAAAATACTTGAGATTTATTAGTAAGAAAATAAATCCAAATATACTTAGTGCAATCATCAATAAACGAAACGAAATAACGATTTCCATTAAGAGATAAGACAGAGGCAGGGCCCCAAACATCTGAGTGAATTAAAGCAAAAGGGGTTTTGGATGATTCCAACCGCTTAGGTAAGTGAAGACGATGACTTTTCCCTAACTGACAAGAATCACAAATATTAGGTAGGGAGGAACTAGTAATAGGTAATGAAAAAGTAGACACTAGACGACGTAAAATAGGCTCAGTGGGATGTGCCAATCTGCGATGCCAGCACTCTAAAGAAGTACGTTCACCAAAGAAGGCACGAAGAGGGGAGGGTTGACATGATGATGGTAACCGGTACAGACCATTTTCAAGCGTCCCTCTTAGCAACGTCTGCCCCTGCAAATTCTTCACAAAACAACAATGGGGGTGAAATTCAAGATAAACATTATTGTCACGGGAAAGCTGAGAAACAGAAAGTAAGTTTCTTTTAATATCGGGGACAAGTAATATATTGTGCAGTTTAATAGTAGAACTGGAAGCACACAAGGCAGGGAGAGTAGAATGTCCTAAATGCGTAATACGGAGGGACTGGCCATTGCCAACCATGAGACCATCATTACCGTTATAAGGATGTGATAAAGAGAGCTTGCTAATGTCACCAGTGACATGATGTGTGGCACCCGAGTCTATGACCCAAGGATCATAGAGAGTTGATGGGCTAGGAGATGAAGGTGTGGCTGAGAATGCAGCCGCAGGCGATGGTTGAGCAGAGTGTTGTTGTTGGCGTTGATGGCTTCCCCGTTGCTGGGTTCGTCGAGGAGGTGGACCGGTTGCAGGATAGGTGTTGACGTTCATCCGATGATAGCAATTGATTGCCTCATGGCCAAGACGTTTGCAGATTTGACACTTGGGGCGAGAGCGGTCAGAGGACTGTGAGGATGAAGCTTCTGTAGAGTGCTGATTTCTGGAGAAACGAGAGGCAGAATGAGCCTCTGGTGTGACATTGTCAGTCTCACGAGCCTCCTCCTCAAGACGCTGTTCTTCCTGAAGAAGAAGATTCAGAAGCGAATCGGAGGTTAGGTCCGTACGGTGAAGTGACAGAGCAGAGCGGAAGGAGCCATAGGCAGAGCCGAGACCATAGATGATGTAGTCAACAAAGTCAGAATCGGGGACGTCAACAAGGCATTCGAGGAGGTTGTTTGCAATTGAACGTTTCTTCTCAAAATACTCAAGAATTGAGAGAGAACCTTTGGTGAGAGATTGCAGTTGTTGACGGAGGTGCATCTGACGAGATCGAGTCTGGGCGTGAAACATTCGTTCAAGCATTGTCCAGGCTTCGTGAGAAGAGGTGGCACGCGCGACCAGCCCTAGAAGGGGAGTGGTGAGCGTGGACCGTATCCAGAGAAGAATTAGACGGTCCTTCCGAATCCAGGCGGCATAGGCAGGGTTGGCTGTGGTGATGGCCTGAGTTGTCGCTGTGGCTGGTTGATCAATGATGGTGGCGGATGGGATTTTGGTGGAATCAAGGCTTCAAGAGCGGAACGCACAGTGCCTCTCCAGAGAGAATAGTTCGTCCGATCGAGACGAAGGTGGATCGCTGGAAGTTGAAGCAGAGAAGTTGAGGACCCTGTGTTTGCTGCCATAGCCAAAATTTGGGATGAAGAAGAGTTGTCAGATGAAGTGTCAGAAGATGGAGACATAGGATCGATATACTAGGCTGATACCATGTAAAGTTACCACCAGACAATTAGAATGGGAAATGATTCACCTTTTTTCTTTCTCATTGAATCAAATATATAGTCATACAATATGAATATACAAGGTAAGCATATCAAGACCTAAAATAGACTGATTTACAAAATCAGTTCTAACTATAGATAAATACAAAATAGAATAAAAAAAAGATTTATACAATATTCTATCTTTAACAGTGATGATGTGGCGGTCCTTGTGTTACAATTCCTCAAAGCAAATGAAAAGAAAAGGCCGCCTAATCAAAGAATGTTCTTTTCAATTAATTCAAAGAGATCCAACCTAAAAGCAAGCTAAGGTTTAAAATGTTGGCAGAAGAATAAAGGAACCTTCAGCTTGCCTTGATAATGAAGCAATTATCCAATCTTTCCATAGCCGCAAAGCCCTAACAGCTATCTTAGTTAGCCTTGCAATCAAGAAAAGAACAAATGGACTTTAAATATCTGCCCACAAATTCGACAATCTGCTCACAATTAGCCCCTAATAGTTTCTTGAGTTTCATCATTAACTTAGGATATACACTATATTATACGTAGTACGAATTAAAACATTTCTCATAGGACATATTGATCGAAGCATATAATTTCTGAAGAAATATAATGGCAAATATTCGTGGACCGGTCGCCTCTTTACTTTTGGTGCTGAATTTCTGCATGTATGTTGTGCTCTTGTCCATCGGCGGGTGGGCTATGAATAGAGCCATTGATGAAGGCTTCATAATTGGTAACTATTTCTATTTAGATTTATCGTTTTGGAATATTTATCATGAAAAGGCTAGGAGCACCGTTGATGCAATAAATGTGACCTGACAGAATTATTCACATTTCTTTCTCTCTCGTTTTCATGATTTATACATTCTTGGTAGCTTTTTGCAACAATGTATACCACAATGTCCACATCTAGACACCCGGCTTGACATTATAGAAAATATATAATTTACCAAAAATATACAAGATCTTTCAAATAAGGAGACATATATATGTTGTTCATTAATACACACACACACACTACGTACCAAAGAGGTTTGCCGCATTGATTTTTCTTGATTAACAGTGACAAAGTTTGGACAATGATTTTAATTATTATGTTTGTAAATAATTTATAAATTTTATACTTTTATGAAAATAGTTTGGATAAGAAACATCTTGATATAATTTTCATATTCATAATAAATAACAATGGTCAAAGTTGGTTCGTTGTCATTTTTGAAAAAGAGTCAATTTAGCAAACTTTTTTTGGACAAAAAGACTAAAAGATCGAGTATGTGTGTGTCTCATATTACATGTGCACCGTGCACATTGTGGCATTGAAGATCCTCTAAAATAATATTTCCTCCTTTTCAATTTTTACCTATTTCATTTCGAGAAGTTTTGTGTTATTTGTCTCATTTTCATATTTGAAAATTTTGTACTTAAGTTTCATAATTTTACGAAAGTAGTCAAACTGTCAAAGTACTTTTTCTAACAGTACGGCGCCGTTTAGAAAGCTCTCCGATTTCCAATTTGTAAAGCCATGCGATTTGGAGCCGGAAGAAGCATCCCCTACCAAGCTATATCGATGTTTCTCTACAAGCTTCTCGGCATATCGACATCTCTTATTGTGGAAGAGAAAGCTCTGCTACAAACATCTGGAAGTTGCCTATCTGCTCCCAACCGTCGATCGATTTCAGCATTGGAGCCTGACTGGGAGTGACTGCCTGATAAGGGGATGAGTATTTCAGCCTCTGGCTCCTAAAGCAGGGACTAGGGAGTGAGTTTTTGCATCGGGATAGCCATCCTTGGCCTATCCAAGCTATTGAAACACAATTTTGAAGTCCTGAAACGTAGATTTGGATCAAGTGCTCTCTTCAAATTAAACATAGATTTACATAGGCTTAAAAAGTTAATTTTTATGAAAGAGATTTACATTTCGATTTATCTGAAGTTACATATCTATGTGAGTTACATTTCAATTTTTTTCAATAAGTTACATCTTAGTTACACTTGATTTACATTTGTTATTCAATAAAAAAAGAATTTTTTATTAAAAACATTTTTAATGGCCCTAATATTAAAAACAAAACATATGCGCTATTTATGTAAAATAATTGGACTATTAGACTCATTTTTTTTATAAAACTTGAGTTACATTTCAGGTCACAAGTTACATTTGTTGTTAACTGAAGTTACATTTGTAGCAACGCGAGTTACATCTAATTATGCACAAATTACATCGTTCATGCTACTGGGATGAAAAAACAGTTACTATTCACGCGTGTACTGTTCACGTGTTACTGTTCACACGATTTTTTTTTTTTAAATTGTGCGAAACTATGTTGTTTTGGGTGTGGGAGCACGGTCCTCACCGTGGGGTAATACCACGGTATACGAATTGGTACACTTTTTTCTTGTTCTCATACTACGTATTTTTTCTACGCACTCTTTCTAGTTCGTACAGTTTTTTTTAGCATACGGAGTAATTATTACGAGTATCTTCTACGAAGTACTATTTTTCTTAATTTCCTGAAGTACGTACCTAGTGTACGTGACAAGTAAGCACCGGATGTATGTGACGAGTAAGAAAGAATATCTTGCGCTGCTCGAGAGAGGTGTCTTGCCCAATCCAACAGACAATAATAAGGGAGGAGAATTTTGGAGGAGGAGCTTGGATCTTGCGGTTGTATGTTGTAATTGGCCACGCACCTTGCCTGGCTCCTAAATAAGTAATTTTCAATTTTTTATTCTTTTAGTAGGACTAGATATAGGTTCTCTTTATTATCAAAAAAAGATATAGGTTCTCTTTTGTAAACAACTTCATTTTTTTTTGAAACATTGTAAACAACTACGGAGTACATAGTTAATCTTGTTTGGGAATTTATTTCATGGCTCCCATTATGATATATAGATGAGTACTTTTTTAGATAAACATCTTTAATTAGCTTGTGGTGTTTTGGTTTAATTTTTGAATGACATGCGTGTATATATGCAGGTCATGGACTTAAACTCCCAGCGCGTTTCTCGCCAATAAGCTTTCCGTTTGGAAATGCGGCCACCGGATTCTTCGTCACGTTCTCCATGATCGCCGGCGTAGTTGGAGTGGCATCCGCCATCGCCGGAATATTCCATATCCTCGGCGGGAACTCCGAGACTCAGGCTGCTGCTGCTTCTGCTGCTAGTATTGCTTGGACTCTTACTGCCCTTGCCATGGGGTAAGAGGGATTTTTTAATACAAACATTATTACAACCCCATTATTAACATAAATAGACCACATTTGACCTTTAACTATGTTGCACGCAAAAGACACGAGGAAACGGGAAGCGAGAAATGTCAACTTTTGTCCAAAAAAGGTTTGTTTGGAAAGTTTCCAAAAAGTGTCCGAAACGGAAACGTACATTTTCCCGAATGTTTCCATGCTACATAGCCTTTCAACGATGTTCAAAACTCAATATCTTGACTAAAAGTCAAATAAATATGCCCTTAAAATCACAATATTATTGGACTTCAGTGTACGTGGTTTACTATTTCACTAGTCAGCATTCAACAACAAAAACTTAATGTTGCTTTCATTTGAGTTTGTTTGGAGATAATGTTGGTTCGTGATACTTAGCTTCAAGAAATGGAAAAACAAATGAAATTTTATAAATGTTCTATCTAGGTCTACATCTTTTTGTTTATATCATAAATTCAAACAAATGATCGAATTTGAAAAAGAATGATGAGCACAATCTTCCAAATAAAGAAAGAGCACAATTTGTTCGAATATTTTCTTTTCTTTCATATATTTTGTGTTCTCAAAAGTCAAAATTAATAGTTCACGCTTATTTGTACACACTCATTTCTCAAAACAAATGGTCGAATTTGAAAAAGAATATTGAGGCCAATTGTCCAAAACATGTCCGCAAACGGGTTATTTTAATTGTCTTCACAAACATTTGGAGTATTTTTTTTGGATGAAAGAGACTTACATTAATAACACATCGTTTGGAGTATTAAATATGTAGAAAAAGTTTGTACTATGTAGTAATTAATTTAAACTCCCATGTCAAACTAATTAATTTATGCATGTTTTACAGGTTTGCTTGGAAAGAGATTCAGCTCAACATTAGGAATTCCAAGCTGGTGATCTGAGTGCTTAATTTTTCTTTTATTATATTAAATGAATCCACAATATATGTGTCGAATAACCCAAAAACGCAGACAATAATTTCTTTTTATTATTGTGAATATGCAGAAAACCATGGAAGCATTCACGATTATTCTGACGTTTACTCAGCTCGCATACATATTGGCCATTTATCTCAAGAAATGAATCATCAGATATACGAATATACATGGAGTGTGATTTATTTTATTTTGTGAACATTATTTTTTCCATTAATATTTCATTCAATTCATTGTTCAATTTAGTTCATTAGAATTATGTCATTCGGTGATCCGGTGATAGTTTGTGAGAAATAAAAGCATACTGTGTGTTTATATGTCCTATAACTTTACTCATTTATGTATACTATTTTACAATTATTTAAGTTAAGACATCCTATCAAGCGCGGAAACTTATAGCTTGACCAATTGATAACCATTACATCAGAATAAGTTCAGGCATTATGAAGAAAGCTTTGGAGAATAAAGATAAAAAGGGCCTAAATATAACATAAAGCTTGTGATGATAAATTATGGTTATTTTTTCTCAAAAGTGCTTAAATAATTTCAAAACTCTAGCTCTGATCTATTCACATTCAATTCTCCCTCAAAGAGACATCCAATTATCACTCCCTCCATCACACATCTATAGTAGTGTTCGATTTGAGCTCAAGCCTATCAAACACGTATAAACTACAAGGATAAATTATATATACATGGCACGTACTTGAATCAAATATCAAGCGCTCGATTGGAACCCGGCCAAGTGGCCCAACATGTATAAAGCTTATCACACTTATCAAGCTAAACTTCAACTCGCACTCAGGATGTTCAAAATTGACTCAATTCGTTTATAGTTTTACACACCCAATTATAGAGTAGTCTTCTTGTCCAGCCGGCCTGACGGGAACCGCCGTCCGGCCGAGGGCATTTCGGGCACTTCCCGATGGAATTTTTTGATGAAATTTTTTGAGCATGTTCTTCATAAAGTCTAGTTTATCCATACCAAATTTCAGCTCAAAATTCGATCGGGAAGGCATTCAAATAATTGTGTGAAGTTAACTGGGCAGTTTATATGTATGAACTGCCCAGTTAACTTCAAAAAATTATTTGAATGCCTTCCCGATCGAATTTTGAGCTGAAATTTGGTATGGATAAACTAGACTTCATGAAGAACATGCTCAAAAAATTTCATCAAAAAATTCCATCGGTAAGTGCCCGAAATGCCCTCGGCCGGACGGCAGTTCCCGTCAGGCCGGCTGGACATGAAAAGTCCTCCCCAATTATATATTGAGATATCATTTGAAATTTACCATAACTATCGCGCATATTACGGAAAAAGTACTTGTGGTTAGACCCATTTTCAGATAGGGTCATGTGTTTCATTCTTTATCAAAGTGGTTCATGTGTTTGAATTCCGTTATCACAAGAGGGTCAAGCCGTTAAAAACGTCAGAAAAAACCGTTTAGAGTAACTTCGATTTTCAAAGGTGCCCGAAAAATCAAAAGAAAAATACCGGAAGGTGCGCCTCAATAAGACGACCGCTAGTCCGCTAGGGTCATCTTTATTTTTTGTTTTCAGCCACTCCTATCACTAGAAAGTCCACCAGAAAAGTGATATTAGCAAAATCATTTTTAAAAAATAATTCAAACAAATCCGAATAATCCAAAGGCGAAGGTGTTTTGGAGGTCATCTTGACGAGGCCCACCTTTTGGTATTTTTCTTTTAATTTTCCGGGAACTTTTGAAAATCAAAGTTACTTTTAACCGTTTTTTTTTTCAGATGTTTTTAACGGTGCGACCCTGTTGTAATAACGGAATTCAAACTTAACACATGAACCATTTTGATAAAGAATGAAACACATGACCCTATCTGAAAACGGGCCCAACCACAAGTACACTTTCCGTACTTTTCCCCACAAATAAAGAACTAATAACTACCTTCACAACACAAAAGAAAGTAACTGAGTTCACCATAGACCTCAGATAAGTTTTCCAGGTTTCTATTGTTCATATTTACATGATGTTTGTAGCTCCAAGTCTCCACTAGGCATGGACCCGGGCCGGGCCGGTTCCGGTTCCGGGCCGGGCCCGGCCGGGCTTTTTTTTGGGAAGGAAGGCCCGGGACCGGCCCGGGTAGCCACCGGGTCCGGTCCGGGTCCGGGCCGGGCCGGGCCTCCGGTTTGGTTATAATTTTTTTTTTTTTTTTTTGCTTTCCTAACCCCCCCACTCACCCCCCACACCCCCCACTCACCCCCACACCCCCCCCAAACCCCCAAACCCCTCCTAACCATCAAGCCCAACTTGGCTAACCCCAAAAAAAGAAAAAAAAATTAAAAAAAAATCAATTCGGCCCGGGCCCGGGCCCGACCCGGCCGGGCCGGTTCGCCAAATTCAAGGCCCGAGCCCGGACCCGGCCACCCCACCGGGCCTAGGCCCGACCCGGACCCGGACCCGAGAACCGGGCCGGTTCCGGGCTCGCACAGTGGCGGGCCGGGCCGGTCCCGGGCGGCCCGAACCGGGTCCATGCCTAGTCTCCACCAGTCAAAAAAACTCCAAGTCACCAGCTATTTAGTCAAGTAATTTGGAATACAAACACAACCTAAAGGGTAAAAAATCATACATGAACGACTTATTCCATTTTGAATACACGTTCCTAAATTAGAGGGCTTAAGTGATTATTTTTAAACGAAGGATACGTTAAAAATAGCCCAAATTTTATAATCAAATAACTTGTTTTACCTGAATTTATCATCAAGTCGTGAACAATTATTATGACGTTTGTGATCAAATGAACTATCATGGAGATAATGAAAACAAATACAGAAAAGCATGAAAATTAACACAGAAGAGACTAGTTCAATGTTACATTTCCAATTTAGGAAAGTCTACAAGGTTGCATTTTTTACGTAAAAAAAGTTTGTATAATCATCTCTTTCCTGCTATCTTATTTTGGCTGGTACATGTAAGTAAAGCATGCATGATTAGCACTCTCCACTCCACCTGCATCACAAAGATTTACCATTTTTACCATAGTCCAGTATTAGTATCATTTGTCCAAAAAGAGCAGAAGTGTCAAGTGTTTAGAGAAAGATCTCTAAGACAAGTATATGAATTTGGTGAAAGTCAATACGCGTCAAGGCTCAATATTTTACCACAACCCCGTAGTATAAATATCCATTCATTCTATTTCATCCTCATTCATTTTGGTAGTGTTAGATATCACTGCAATGAATGATGGTGATGATGATTATGTCACAAATGTCATCGCAATCTCTTTTAATAGAAATTCAACAGAAACTTCGGATGTTTCGTGACAAAATACAAGTTATGAAATGTAAAGCCAGGGTAGGACAGGGAAGGACAAAACATCATATATTTCTGATGTTTCATTTGAACTTAAATTACAAGTTCAAAGTGTCTTTGTATCCAAGCTTTCTGCCTTTTTTTTTATTTCATGATGTCTGCAACATAATATAAGATGCATAGACACAGTTGCATATGAGTTTTGTGTTTAACCCTGGAACTTTGAATAGCTTGGAATGATGTTTTAATGAACATAGACTATTACTCCAACCTGAACTTATCTATTGGATCCTGTGAATAGCTCAAACAGTCCACAGCAAGTCTTCCATGATGTTCTCTCCCGTGGTTGTACACCTGAACCCACTACCAGAAGCTGCACATTGTTTTAAAACAGACAGTTGTTTGAATTAAAACATGAACTTCTATCATAAACTCTTTGAAGACTTCCATTAGTTTGCAAAGATAAGTTGATAAACCAGATACTCAGATTTTTTGGTGCATCAAGCCGTTTGTTGAAATAATGAAATTCTTGAGATTGATGAAATTGCTGAATTATGTAAACAATATCTTTAACACGTTTCGTTTTATATAATATAGAATAGTGGGTTGAAATAAAAAAGCTACAATGATCATTGTAGGTATCTTGAGTTAAAAAATTACATCCAACACAACTTTTCTTTCATTATTAATTTATTCAGCTTGGGCAGTAAAATAAGTTACACCATCAATTATTTTGCCTGATAAGCTTAAATAAGTGGCTATTAAACGACCAGTCAATATTATTTCACCCATCCCAAACTGAAGTCCCTGTTTGACTTTTACGCTCCTCAGTTGATGTTTGACCACTACTATTTACATATCTATACTTATAAAACCTAGCATAGGTTATTAAAAAATAACGAAGTGTATATATTTAAAAAATGGTTCGGAAGTATTTTCATGCGTTAAACTAAATATAGTTTTTGAATAATTAACTATCAAAGAGGGATTTTTTTTTTTAGAAAAAAGGAGTACTGTCCTGTAAACAAAAGGAGCCTGAAAGTGAAATTTTAAGGACCTGAGTATCAGAGAAGTGAAGAACATCAGACTTTTTGAACGGATCAGCCCCATTGCTTATAATGCTGGAAATATGATCATGTGGTGGTGGAATTGGTTGCACACCATTTTCTTGAGTTGCAGAATCATTGACAGCTTCTTCAATCCCCTCCTTAATTGGTGATCCCGTCTCCGCCATAACTTCCGACATAGTAGCACCATCATCATCATTATCTACACACAAGTTCTTCTTCATTTCTTCAACATTGTTAATATGCTCAGATTCAATGGTTACCGCAGCCCCCACATCGGAATCTTTGACAGCTTCTTCAATCCCCTCCTTTATTGGTGATCCCTTCTCCGCCACAACTTCCGGCATAGAAACTCCATCATCATTATCTCCACACAAGTTCTTCGTTTCTTCAACATTATCAATCAGCTCAGATTCAATGGTTATCGCAGCCCCCACATCGGAATCACAACGTTCAACTAAGCCAACTTCTTTAACTAAACCAACATCAGGAGGATAATTAGCTACTATGCTTTTGTTTTTGTTGACTTCATCATCATCATCACAACCAGAACTGCTACTACTCTTTGAGCTCTTCAATGAGCTTTCAACTTGAACAGCATCATCGTTATCTACACGCAACTTCTTCTTCATTGCTTCAACACTGTTTATAAGCTCAGATTCAATAGTCATCGCAGTCCCTACATCGGAATCAAAATGTTCAACTAAACCAACTTCTTTACCCAAAACAACATCAGGAGGATAATTAGCTTCTATGCTTTTGTTTTTGTTTGCACAACCATCACCGTCATCATCAGCTTCATCACAACTAGAACTGCTACTACTCCTTGAGCTCTTCAATGAGCTTTCAACTTGAACATAAACTTGCTCTCCCAATTGCTCATCGCCTTTAATTGGCGACACCTCACTGGATTGCACAACCAATAAACTACTATCTTCTTCTACCTCCATGATATTACCTTCTTGAGAAGCACGGGAACAACCCTCCCCTCCATCACTATCTGTTTCATTGTGATCATTCCCCAAATCCTCTTCCCCTGCCATAGTTTTATTCATCAAGAACAATTCAAGTAAAAGAAACACACCCAGTTTTCTTAATACAACACATAGCCATTACATACACAATTGATTGACAGAAAATGTTAGTCCCACATCAAATAAGTAAAGAGGAAAATGATTGATTAATGAGACAATGGATTTGACTTAACAATGTGATTTGGGTCAAGTCCCTAGTTGAGTGACCCAAACAATCCTGGATTTTACAACTAAAAAACACCATGAACAGATACTTTCCAGCAAACCACAGAGGTGTAAATATTTATTAAAAATAAATAAAAATAGTACTACCAGAGAGTGGAAGGTGTGAAGAGGACACAACTCACGCAAATTTAAAGAGATACCCACAGAAGCAGAGTGGGAGACAGAACAACAGCTGTAAAGGGTGCTTTCAGGATAAGAGAATTATTGAAAGCCAGATGGAAATGGGATAATGAAGAATCATAAAAGACAAGTCTTTGTAGTTATAAGCAAACATATACCAGTGTTTTTGGGTTGATTTGCGGAGCTGGGCATGTGGGAGGAGGCCCCCTTAACTTTCGATCCCTTCTTTTTCTTGGCATCTTTTCGCTTCTTGGGCATGGCGATCTGGAGAGTTTTTCTGGACTGATTGTGGTAATGCTGGCGGATGAATGAAGTAGAGCAGCAAGGAAGGAGTAGTGAGGTGTCTCTCGAAACTCCATGAGTTGTTTGTTTCTATCGCTTGGCCTTGGTTTGTCGGTGTGGCACGGGGCAGGTGGGTCAAGCAAATCTAGTGTTTTTGCCCGGTTTTTAGATTAGCACTCAAACCATACTAAACCGACTTGTGCTCATGTTTGTCTCACGCACAAAAAATGTACGTTCACAGAAAATTTTACTGTTATGGAATTGCCTCTTGTTTGTTTCACCCTTTGTACGTAGTAGTTTTTAAAAATATTTAGAAGTTTGTTTCTATCGCTTGGCCTTGATTTTCTTTACTTTATTAGAAAATACGATAGTACATTTTAAATACAATTTTGTTTTTCCATAGTTAAGGATATTTAGTCAACCTCAATCACTTTAATTAGAATTTTATCAATTTTAGTATATTCAGCCAGTTTTGTCAATTCCAATGTTACCAAATGAACTCTTAATATAATTCTTTTTCCAAGTTTCGATTATTCTTTTTCCAATTTGATAAACTATGGTTAACAAAGTACTTCATTCATCCCAAATTTTAAATTCAACCTTCATACATTTATCAAGGGGGAGACATTTTTATACATATAAAAGAATAAATTCCATTTTTGGTCCTACGAATTTTAGATCAATTCCACATTTAGTCCACATCTTTCACTTTATCCACTTTTGATACACGACTATTGTATTTTCGCCCATATATGGTCCTTCCGATATTAATTTCGTTGGTTAAAATCGCCGGAAAAGGACCACAAATGCATATGGTTACAAACATTAGTCAAGTTTTAAGATGTTTATTGTATATTCTTAAAACAGTTTTAGCTGTATAAAAAATTTAGCCAATCAGAAATTTAGCCGTATGCTTTTTGTTTTGAAAATTCTATTCCTATATGAAAAGATGAAGGAAAATTCTTGGTGTACATATTCTTATACACACCAGTACACCTCCGTGTCTGTGAGAGGTTTTTTTGTCTGTGAATCCCAGTTCACAGACAAAATCGGCTTGTTTTGTCTGTGGAAAATTCTTCTGACAAAACAAGCCAGTTTTTGTCGGTGGATTGGTATTCACAGGCAAAAAAAAATCTCACAGACATGGAGATGTAGTGATGTGTATAAGAAGGTGTACACAAGGAACTTTTGAAAGATGAAATAGAGAATCACTTCTCACCAACTTTGTGTCAGTACTTCTCAAAATTTGAGAAAAAGATGTTGCCAAAAAAAAATTGAGAAAAATATACTGCTTTGTTTAAAAGTTTTTTTTGTTTCAACTGATTCTTTAGTTTGTGTTTAAGAACTGCCAATTTGGGTTGGACTGATTCTTTACTGTACTGCTTTAGTAAAAAGCTTTTTTCAAATCTTTTTGCCTATAATTGAAAAAGAAAGTAGGAAAAAGATAAGCAAGGGGAGGTATGGGCCGTATGGCGGGAGGATTTCGGAGGGAAGGAAAGGGGAGGTGATGTGTGTTTTCTCGCACTTAAAAATGATGTAGTAAAGTGGTTGAAAGTACGAGTATCGTCTCCACAGGAATGGACAAAAGGGAATTAAAGATTAACTAAATTCAGCGAATAAAAATAAAATAAAATAAAATAAAATGCAAGTGTGCGAGATTGATTGATTGAATAAAAATTAAATTAAACTAATGTGAATGAGCGAATAAAATAAATGTTTGGTTTCTTTCTAATAACGACAAAGGGAACAGGGATTGATTCCGGGGTAATCAGATTTCTCGCAGAACAGGCCTAATTACATGAATTTAATTTAATTGAGCCTAGCTAATCATTACTAAGTTCTTACCGCTCTCGCGGCGTAGAGTACAATAATTTAGGGGACCAGGCTGATCTCTCATGCGACAAGATCCTAAATTATTGCCAAAACGAGCGAGCTTACGGCTCCTTAATCGCTACTAATCTCTTAGCGAACGATTAAGTGTGTGTGAAGGTGTCCTAGAATAAATTAGATCTCTCTTAATTCATTCTACATGCAATTGTAATTCTAGCCGCGGTTCAAGGTTACAAAAGATATCAGTTAAATTATTCAAACACAAATTAAACGGCATTCATGCCATTAAACCGACAAGAATCTAGCCATCAATCATGATTAACCCCTTCATCAATCCCAAATCCCTAACTAAACTACTCACAATTCATAATTGAAGAATCAACAGAATTGGGATGAATAGAAATAATTGTCATTAATTAAAAAGATAGAACTTACAAAGAATCCCTTAATCTTGAAGAACAGGGCTTGAAAAGCTCTCAAAAATCGAAATAGGGTTTATCTCTCTAAGCTCCTCCCCAAAAACAGGCAAAACAGGGGCTTATTTATAGAAAAATCCGAAAACGGGCCGAAAATCAGGCCGCGCGGTAGTCCGCACGTAGTGCGGGTCACGCGCGCGGTCACGCGCGCGTTTTTCCGTCTTCCGACTTTCGCTCCGCCCGCGCGGTGTGCGGGCGCCGCACTATGCAACCGCGCGGGTACTTCTGGGGGCTATTTCTGGACCGCGCGGTGTGCGGTTTCGACCGCGCGGTGTGCGGTTTCGGCCGCACATAGTGCGGTTCAGACTTCTTGAATTCTTGCTCTCAGAATCACCCGCGGGGCGTGCGGAACCGCACCGCGGGGCGCGCGGATTGCTCTAGAACCGTTTTCTTGCTATTTTCTTCCCCGTTTGCTCCCGGATACTTCTTTAATCAATCCAAAGGCCGTTTCTTCATCAAATCTTCGCCGTGAACCTTCCGGTGGCCTCCAAAACTCTCAAATCTCTCTCGAATGTTCTCCAACTCTTCCCGATTGCTTCTCTAAGCGCCGATGTCGGTCTCTAACTTCTTCAAATCAACTCCAAATGCAATGAAACTCGGTCCAACGCCTGCTAAACACAACTTGAGCCAAAATTGAGACTTGCAACGCCTTAAAGCCAGGAAAACCATCAAAATCCGACCCGGACACGCATCAAATGCGTGTCTAAATACGGACTTATCAGGAGGAATCATATTTAAATTTAAAATATTGTTTTCATTTAAAAAAATTCAAATAAAGTGAAGACAAAATAGTATATAAAAATACATGGTTTAACCAATTATATAGTTATTTGAAGTTAAAAACTAAAAAATTCAGATAAATTAATAAAAAAAAATCAATCATTCCCTTCCCTCCACTCTGAAATCCACCCATCATACATGCCCTAAGTCCACTATATTGGAATGCATGTACCGACCTTGAGTATTTTGTGGCAACAAAATATGGTATTTAGTCCTCTATAAAGCTCCATATGTCGGTTTGCATAATATACTTATACGGAGTAAAAGACTTTACACTGGGTTTTCATTATTATTCTTAGGCACGTGTAATTATCTGAACACAAGTAAAACCTATGGATTCAAATTTTGCAAATAAAATATGGGAATACGAAATCATTTTTTTAAATCTAATTATCTACTATTTTAGAAACTTTTAAGTAGAAGGTAATGTATATAGGTGCAGATTTTTGTCATTCAATTCTTTGTACTACGTATCTTTTATGTACATGAAATTATGAAAATTTAGTTTCCAATCATTTAGAGGTACCTTTTCTTTTCCAATTATTATGACTTCAAGTAGTGTTCTATAAGAGATCTGTGCAATCTCATCCATATGATTTCATTTTAGTTTTAATACTTCATTTTTCTTATCCTATTATTTTCATTGTATGTGTAGTTTTTCCAAAGATCTCTGGATATCTCAAGTCCTTATTGCAGAGTATCAGGGCCACTTCCAAAGAATTGATTGGAAACTTTATGGGTTATGAGAATGTTGAATCAGCGAGTATTGGTTTTTATAAGTGTGTTTATTCTATGAGCATCACAATGTCCATGACAACTAATGGGTATTATTTCTTTTTCAGTTCATAGTAATAATGTTAATATCACCTTATCCCGTTATCATTGAATCTATTTATGAGGGTTTAATCTTTTTTTTGCGGGTTTTGTAATAAACACTGGAATAAATTCATCTCTGATTTCAGCCTTAGGTTATATTAACTCTTATTATTTGTATGTGAAATTTGTATTCCTCATCACGAGATGAAGGGGTGAAAGAAGACTTTTTCCACATTCTCCATGCACAAGTATTACAGCCTTTTTAAGCAATTTGTAAAAATTTGGAATCTTATCAATAAATATCTCCTTATATAAATTTCAGTTGCTTTTTAGTTGCACTTGGTTGATTTTATTATCGCTCAAATTTAACATTTTATTATGTGCATGGTGCACCAAGTTTGGAAGCAGATATTGTATCTAAAATAGAGTAGGATGCACACAAAAGCCTCTATTATCATGTTATTGTGTTTTATCGGTAACAGAGTTGGGGCTACCGGAGGACTTTAGTCACGGTCCGTAGTCACGGATTTATGTAGTCACGGACTTGGTCACGGTCAAATCCGAGACTATTTTTTTTCAAAAATCCGCGACTAGTCCGTGACTAGCCCATGACTAGACTAGTCACGGATAACGTCCGTGACTACAGGCGTGTTTTTTTGTAGTGGTTTTGTTGTCCTTTTACTCAAAATCTACCGTAGTTATATATTCACAATGTTATTTTAAGATGGATGTCGCTTTTTTATATGCTTTTGGTCCATTATATATGCTTTTGGAATAAAGTAATATTGCTGAAATATAGTAAGATACAATTTGAGCTCATTAGTAGTGATTTATTATAATTAAATTGGTCTATATCTAAACAAAAGAAGTGTATATTTTGACTCTATTTCACGTGGACTTTTTTAATTTATTTGGATATTTTTATGTAGTCAAATATTATAGTTAGAAAAAATTCTCTAAGTGAAATTAAAACATAATAATTACTTTTCTCCAATGAAAGTTAGTGAACAACTATCTCCCTTTTCCTGAAAATCTCCAGAGATTTAATTTGGTATTATTTCCATCAAGA